AAGGAAAGAACAGCCTAATTTAATTAATGCAAAGCCCAATGATAGTTTGGATCCGCCATTTGTCCATGACCTAGATACGAAAAAACAAAAATTTGGCTGGACTTCTAAATACACCACTTTTTCTTAGGCCCATTTATCTAATCAAATAAATATATATAGTATACATTTAAACAAATATTATATCTTTATAACATACATCTTAATAAATGTTCATAAATATTTATAAAAATATTGATGCTCATTTAATAGTTACTCTTACATCAATATAAAAAAAATGAGAAAAGTATAAACCGTCAGGAAGGTACTATCATCTCTATCCTAACGTTAACATATTCAAACAACTGTTTATTTATTTATTTTTAACTATTTTTTTCAGGCTATTATTTATTATTTTAGAGAAATGTTTCTTTATATATATATATTTTATTATAACGTTGGAGATATTTATTAAAAAACATTCTGAACAATATTTTTAAATGATAAAAATGTTAAAAGTATGAATGATTAACGTTCAATTCTATATTTTAAAACTTTAACATAAGTAAGAATATTAACTATATTTTATAGTTTCCGTATTATAATTTTAATGTTTTGTTTGGTTCAAGAGCAATAGAAAATGAAGTTTTGCAGAAGAAAAAATAAAAATAAAATGATTTTATATAAGTTATTTGAAAGAAAATATTTTTTTAGAAAATAAATTTATATATTTTTCTTATTGTGACAGTATAGTAAATAGGTTACATTTTCCTTGTACCGTTGTAGTTTAGTTGCTTAATTAATTAAATAAGAGAAAACATTAAAAAATAAAAATTAGAGGAAAAAGACAGAGAAATTCAATATATATTTTCATTAAAAATATTTATATTATTTTATATACTGTGTTTTCTACCCAACAGTTTATAAATTATTTTATTTTCTTTATTTACTTTCAGTTTCGTTTCTTTCATTTTTTTTCTAAAAATAAGTAATCAAAAGTAAAATAAACATACTAAATATATTATAAAGCTCACTTTGAAACATTATTCAATATGTATATTTGAAATGAACTCAATCTGATTTGTGCAACAACTATACATATTTGAATTTCAATCCAACATAATATGGAAAATAAAATAAAACTACCTTTACTCTTTTTCTTTTCTCTTTTTTTCAAGTACCTTTCTCCTTTTGTTGGACCTTAAATTGTGTTTTCTAAAGTTATAAAAGGACAATATTTAGTTACATGAAATTTTCTATAACAAAATTAATTTTTCACAATTTGTTTTTACTATCTGTTTTCTTCCCTTAAATAATTTCATCCTGTGAAGGAAACTTTGTGAAGTCACCGTTTGTTAATTATTTGGACATAAATTTTTACTGCCAACAAATTTAGGAAAATGATAGCAACATTCCAAATTTGAGATGAATATTTGTAACGAATAGAGAACAAGGAAAAAAAACTAAAAAAAAAAAAAGAAAATAAAAGTTGTGAGATTATAGTGCGAGGAAAAAGAAAAAAAAACGCCACAAGAAAAAATAGAAGAAAAATAAGTGTAGGCTTTAATTTATATATATACAAAAATGCAATTTTTTTTCCGCAATAAATTAAGTTTTTCATAAGGAGAATTTTTATAAAAAAAAGGATTTTGTTTTGTGATATGAAAAAAAAATGATGTTTTGTGAACAATGAGATAACAAAATTTATTCTGTTTAACTTTAAAGCATAAACCATAAGTAAAATATAAAGTGTGTGTATAATATCATATTTATACATATTTTCATATTATTGTGGCTAGAATTTGTATATAACTTGAAATAACAACATTTTTAAAAAGTATATGATGAAAAGTGGAAAAAAAGTTGTGAAATTAGAAAGCGAAGTGAACACAGTTTAGGTTGTATTTAAATTTTCATGTTAAATAATACTCCTAATAACCTATAATTGATATTTAAACTTTCTCTTCAAAAGTGGGATTAAAAAAATTCTTTAAAAAAGAGAAAGAAATAATTTGGATAAAAAATAATAAATAATGTGAAAGTTAAACATGTTTAGTTGAAGAAATATAAAAAACAGACTACACTAAAAAATGGTGTAATAAATCTCACAAAGTATTTTGTAAATGTAAGTCAGTATAAATAGACTTGATAATCTATTCAATTTGACTTATCTTTCTAAATTTAACTTGAATACTCATTTTTAATTTGAATTTAAAACTCAATTTATCTTAACCAAAATTGATATTTTGGTTAAACTGAAACCACTAATAACCACAAAATATTCACAGATAAATTTATTAATTAATTATATAAAATATATAATATTATATATATATATATATATATATATATATATATTTTTTTTTTTTAAGATTTTAATATGAAATTTCAACTTGGATGAAGGTGAGACGATGAAAATTTTCAATTTAATGTAGCCTACTTCACAGTTTCTGAATATTTATTTATTTATTTTTTAATTTGGTTTGAATTTAGAACACTTGACCTTAACTCAATTCCAATTATATGATTGTGTGTTTCCTTCACTAATTTACCTCAATGAAATTACTTAATTATAATTATGTTTTTCAAATAACATATAAAAACTTGACATTAATCATATACGTCAAAATTTTTATTGAATCAAATAAATGAAATTAAAATTAAAATATATTATAAATTTTTTTGATATAAGTAAAATAATAAAAAATTTATTATAATTATATATATATATATATATATATATTTATTATAATTTATTAAAATTAAAATATTATAAATTTCCACAAAAATTTATTATAATTTATTAAAATTTAAAAAAAAATATATATATATATATAACAAAATAACTATGATTAAATTTAAAATATAAAATAAAAATAATTATTGATTAACAATAATAATACAATTATTATTATTTTTTAATCCAATTCATACATAGTTAAAAATTCAATTATATTATCTTATTTTTAATAATGACAATATTTTAGATCATTTGATTAAAAAACACAAGTTATTATCACTTCTAAAACTAATTGATTTGATATGTCATATGTTAACAAGAATTAAAATAAATACAATAATGAATCATTAAATGATTAAGAATACATCTTCTTGTAATAAGAGAATAATAAATTTATTTGAAGCATGTAAATTACATGGTTAAAAACATATTTTTATGCAATTTTTTTTTCTTTTATTGCAAGACGACTTTACTAATTTGCTATGAAAAAAAAAAAAAAGATGTGTTAGATAAGCACAACATTAGTTGCGTTAGCCTTTATCTTTGTGCCCCTTCCCCAACTAGTCTATAAATAAGAAATGTTATGGACTTCAGACTGCAATCTCTAAATTATAAGCTTTGCGGCTTCAGCTTCCATAACCACATAATTATCTGTCCTCCCTTTTCTGAAATCTTCAAATCCTGTTATATTTTTGCTCTTCCAACCATTTTATTTATAAGATCTTTTACGTCGCTTGAGTCGAGAAAGCCTAGTCAATACTTGTTCCATTCTCTTCACCAACTTTTACAGACAAAAGTAAGGATGTCTTTTTCTTCTGATTTTATTGATTTTTTTTAATACAATATTTATCGACTTATGTGTATAATTCTTGTTATTGTTCTATCACACATGTATTTCTAGACTTATTTGCTACTATTCTTGTTTACAGGACCAAAATCGGCTCATCTGTTTTCTATTTGCTACTAAGTGAGAAATTCTCGACCGAGGTAATTTTTTTCCCTTTGGTTAACCAGAGAAGGACCACGCCCCCAATTTCATGATAACTATATAAAAGAAAAAAAAAATTATTGTTTCATGAGATCTAATTGTCTTTTTCTTGTATTTTTTTGTACTTCAAATCAAAATGAGATTTTGAGGTAAAATCAATTTTCATTATTTTGACGACGAATAAAGTTCTGTTGTAGGACGCAGATCCGTGGGTAGTATAATTTCTTACGAGAGAGAGACAATATATTGTACGTTATGCTTGTGCTAAAATAATAAACAATTTTGCTTCTTAAAAAATATTATTCTCACCGTGAAACCAAACACAGTCTTAGTCTTCAGTGTAATTTTTCAACCAAACAGAAAACAAGATCAACACTAATACATTTCACTGTGAAATCAATTGCACACAAATGCACTCCTGTTCTCTTCAAAATAGGTACATCAGCTAATGAAATTTTGGCCAAACTGTACAAATTGTTTAGCTTTTTTACTTATGAAAAATTATTAGATGTATTAAACCACCACTTTTTTGTAATGATAAATTTTTATATGATATTTAACTAAATATTATTAATGATTTTATTTATAATTTAAAATTTAAATGTGCTATTTTTGAAGTATACACGTAAACATATCTCAGTTGTAAGTCTCTTAATTTAGATTTGAGCAATAATCATAAATTCAACTTGTTTGCTGAACATATAAATAAATATATTCTTGATCCGCCTTATGCTTATGATTCATTTGGGTTACATATATTTTTTGTTTTAAATAGAGAATAATTAACTTAGTACAACTTATTCAAGGCACAAATATAACTTGTTTAGATTTATGATTTAGTACGAGGAAATGTTAAATATGTATATTGAAAATAAAATATAGTATCATATTTAATTAAAAAACATAGATACTGGATAAATGTGTACTAGAATTTTGTTTGTGATGATATAAAAATAGGAAGAAAAAAATAATTTTAAATTTGTTTTTAAAATATTATTTTTTTCACTATCCTTGATTTTAAGTTGATTGTTAAGGAAATTGCTTTAACATTTATTTTTTTCAGTAAATTTTCTTATATATTTAGGATGATTAAATTTGATGGTTATTGATTAATCTAAAGAATGGTTGGTATGTAATAAATAAATTCTTTATTAACTCTATCACAATGAAATGATTATAATTTCATTACATATATATATGTTTAGGGAAACAAATTCGAAGAGTAGATATTTTTTATTAATTAATTAATTTGTCTAATTTTTCCTTTTCAATGTTTATTTTTGCATAAACTTGGAGATGGACTTGGAAGATTTAGATATGGAGTTTGACTGGGCACAGGTGGATATTCTGAACACCATCACTCCTTCATTGCTCAACAATTCAACCTATGCTCCACAACAACTCAATGTATCCACTGTAAAAAAAAAACTATCTCTCTTTCGTCTTTTTTTTAGTCATTTTCTTATGTGCTAATTAACCAGGGAAAAGATTTTTGTATTCCATTTTCTTATGTATTTATTATTATATTTTATGGTCAATGTTAAAATTTATTAGTTACTTGAGTTTTTTAAATGTTACATAATATCAATTTTGAATATTCATTTTTTTTTTCACAAGTGATCTTGACTATTCATATATAAGTGTATCATACATTTATTCCTCATCTCATCATTCATCCCCAAATATCAAATCACCTTTTTTTAAGATAAAATATTATCAGAAAACTTATTTTACTCTTTTGTTTCAATTTTTATTATTACATATGAACCTTAGTAAATAGTTTGAGTCAATTCTCTCCTAGAACAAAAAATAGAACTAAAAAAATTGTTAGAAATAATATTAAAATTAATGTATCATTTTCTTAGTTATTAACTTGAAACATGCTTGTAATATTCCAGGTAATAAAGAGACCTAGGACAAAATGTTTATGATGCAACACTCTAACTACGATGATTAAAATAATTAATTTTCTTCTTAAAGAAAATCTATGGATATATTTTTATTAGTATCCTAACATTATCAATAAATTTATTCATATTTTAAATTTTAAAAAAATTTCTTACTACAATTCGTCGGATATGTTTGAAAATAAGCAATACATACATGATACTTATTTATTTTAATTTGTTTTTATAATTCAACCTATAAAATATAAAATTTTTGGAAGACTCTAAATATAATTTTTGAAAAATTAAAAAATTTGGGAGGCTATTGCTCCCGCTTCAACAAATTTGCGCCATTGACTCTATATATATTGTTGTTGAGGATCAGGACTCCGTTGGAACTGTGGTAGCAACACCAAATCAGGCACAGAATTTTGAACAAACTTTCTACTCGTTCGAGGATGCAAACTCAGGAAACCTTCCACAGGTTCCAGTGGATGATCCTTATCAGTTGCCCCAGTTACCCCCAAACTCTCTAGCTCCCTTACCGGATGAAATCCAATCAAACTATTGTATACCATCCATGGTAATAACTTCAGGATTAGTTCATATGTAATACTACATGATATATGCATTTGACTTGTATATTCTGTCACACATAATTATTTATTTTGTATTAATGCAGTACATTCAACAGGTATCTCTTATACATATAATTGTTAACATTTGATTTGATTAGGTGGGATTGATATCTGAAGGAGCAGGTTCATCGGTTCAAGGCCAAAACATGCCTCCAATGAATTACTACAATCAATTTCCTCCTACTCAAAGCAACAATTTACCTCTGTAGGTCTTCGTAGTAACCTATATACTGTGCAGTCATATAAATTTTCCTTTGTAAGTGTATTTTCCTTGTCTTCTTGTTGTAGGATGCATGATCTTGGTCAGCACAACGACCAAAACACAAACAATTTGTCGGGACAAAATATCTTAGCAAATCGGAATTTCAATGGCATCAATCAGCAGCCATCCCCTTATCCAACTTTTTTTCAGCAAAATCCTGTGAGCTTAAGAACCCTTAAAAATTTGATCCACTACCATTTTAGGTTTGACTTTTATTACTTTTTGTTGTCTATCATAAGCAGGTAGAGGTAAGAGCAGCAGGGAATGAGACAACAAATGGCAATTTCATGACTAACCAAAGATCTTCAGTGTTTGCTGTGAACAATCATGCTATCAACCCTCGTAGTGCGTGGAATTCCCATAGGTAAATTACTTGTACATATAATTATTCCATTCTTAGGATTCCCCATTTCAATCTTCCAATATATTTTCTCTATTCACCAACTTTTAAAACTTAAATCTGAAATGATTTTATTTCTCATTTTACATGAACGAATTTATGGTATCAATGATACGTTTTACATGCTTCAACAATTCATATTTTTTATTTAAAAAAATTGAAAAAAAAAAGTCAAACTATTTTCTTTTTAAAGAAATTTTTCAAAAACTTATCTTATTTGATTACTTTACCTTTATTTATTATTTACCCATTCAATTCATGTACTACTCTATTAGCTATTTAATTGTTTTATTTATATATTATTGCAAATTAAATACTTCACAAACTTGTATTTTATTAGTATTTTTGTTTTTGTATTATTTTTGCTAAAGTTGTTTTTATCTATCTGTTTTAAATTCTTTACATAAAATATTATATATTTATATAATTTATTTAAAATGATTTTTCATTCTATCTGGATTTTATGATTTTCATCTTCGTTTCAAAGATTAGTTTGGATTATTCACAGGTTAAATCTGGATCCATTACCTTTGGTTGTTCCTACATGAATTTCCCTTGCATTGTTTCTTTAAGTGTGGAACTTGTTTTTGTTACAAACCAATATAGTGGAAATATATTTGATGACTGAATAAAGTTTGTTTGAATACATTTCATTATTCTAGAGTCAAATTTAACCAATGATTTGTCATAATTTTTTGAAGCCTAACTTTGACTATTTTTAATGTTTCATTTGACTTGTTATTTTGTTCAATATTAGTCTATTTCATATTAAAGATTTTATATTGAGTTGGCATGTTCTTATATAGCTTAATTGGCTACATAGTATCGTTACGACGAACAAAACTCTACGCAAACCTAAATGAATAAACCGTTAATCTCTCAAGGAATGACTAGGTGGCATTTCTTTATCATTTGCAGTACATACATTATTTTCACATGTTGACGAGTTCTACAATAATTTCTCAGTAATTCATTCATCTTTATTTTTGAAAGGTCCCTGTGGATGCAAGATCAAGGAAACCAATACAATCCATTGTTACAGAACACTGGTTTTCTGCAGCATAACAGCTCCTCTTTGAATGGACCCACATCTCTGTCCTCCGGCTTCACTACTCCTTCAGCACTGAACTCTGCTACTATGGGGTTTTCAGGTACTAGGCCCACTGAAGGATCAAGTTCACAACTTTTTAACACCCAAGTGTCTCAAATTTCAAGCCTTTTAAGGTATCATAATTTTCACTAGCATTAATTATATTTTCCCTTTATGTGATGCTATAATACTATGCCTATGTTAGCCATCTTTTTATTCAAAAGGTTTCGAATTTCTGTGATTGTCAATGTTAACATTTTTCACCATTACTAGGCCTGAAAGAGCACCGGCGATGCAACTGCAGCAAGTATCCCCTTTTTCTGTTAACACAATCACTTCACAGCGTGCTGACAATGGACTTTCTATGCCTTCATCTTTTAGGTATATACAATTTCTTAAGCAATTTATGTATTGAGCAGGAATTCAAATACAGAACATGTTCAAAAATTCTATTTTTATATAAGGTGTTGACGTACAGAAATATATTAAAAATCATAAATAGGAAAAGAAAAACAAACAAATAAGAATTCTATTGATTTGCTTTAATATTTGTAGTAACAAAAAGAACTGACAAAATCCTTACATGTTTCAAGTTCTCATTATATTGTTGAATCATGCATAGGGCGCAAGTTTCACTACCAAGCCTAAACATGCTGAATCAAAGTGACAGATCATTGGTTCCTTCCTATGGTTCTTATAGTAGTCTACAACAAAGTCCAAGTCTGAATTTACAATATCCAAGGGTAAGAATTTCTTAATCCTTTTTGACTTTTAACACAGCGATGATAATAGATAATAACTGTTTTAGCTAAGTGTTAAGAAGATGCAGAATATAAAGTTTATGTTTTCAACTCTCTAATTTTCCTATAGTTACACTTACTTGTTTTAAAAAGGTGTTGGATCATATTTCAGAACAATTAAATTAAATGTGGTAAATTGAACATGAACAGCAGGGACAGCGAGAACCTCCACGCCGTGGTCGTCCCCGCAAACATTTTGAACCATGCGAGGCATCTTCACCTTATAAACGTCGTAAGGTAACCATTTTTCTCTCAGTCATGCATGATGATGCTTTTGTATAACTGGATCCGTAATGAGATTCTGTTGTTTTTCTGCTTGGTTGGTTTTGACTTGTTGCAGAGGGGTTCCTCCGTCAGAGAAAATGTTGGTAGACCATCTTTATCCCTAGGAAACCAGACAGCTGCAGCTGGCGTAGTGAAAGAAGATCAGAACCCAACAAACCCTTCCTCTGCTGCTGAAACTGCAAGGTTCTTAGCTGCATTTATCATTTTTATGTTTTCACTTTTTGAGTAACGATACATACATGAATAACTACATACAGTATATATCAACATTTTCCATTCTCTCTTTATCTTCTTATTACATATGATATCTTCATTTTTTTTTGCTCTAGGTTTGTAGAAGCATATTGGTGTCCATACATAATTTTCATTCACTTTTATTGAGTAAGAAAAAATTGAACATTTTCATGGTTTTAAATCTCAGTCCATTTGTGAATGCTATGTACGATCCTGCATTTGAGAGGGCTGGCGTTCCAATTGACCCTCTTCTGAGGTTATTCAACGCAACAACGTCCGGTAATTCCTTTAACTTTCTTTAAACCATTCAACTTATTACAGTAACACTAAATCTGTTTTCACAAACTTCTTTAAAAATATTAAAAAATCAAATAATTGTTTTCATAAACAAAAAATTAATTTAGGCAGAAATTAAAAAAATACAATTTTGAAAAAACTATACAGAGGGTATTTTTAAATTAGATTAGTTAATTTTAATTTATAAAAAAGTTTCTACACTTTTTTTTCTTTTTGTTCGTATAATTGTTTATGAAAAAATCTGAAAAAAAAATCTGCCTCTAATTAGCTATCCTTGCACCAATTACTCATCATAAAAATATTTATTAAGATTATCATGTTATAAGTCAAGTTTACATTCTGATCTTAGAAAACTTCTAAATATATATGTGTATTGTCCTTCATGCAGAGAAACCTGCAGGCCCCAACAATGAATAGAAGTCTTGAAGTGTCCAGAATCCTGAAGATAAAGTTGAATTGAATAATGCCAGAATTTTCAACAAAGACATGGGACGTACGTTGTTTGTCTGTAGTTTGAAAATTGGAACTTGAAGCATTGGTTATGGACTTCTGTACGAAGTCTAGATGTAATTTAGAATTTGATGCAGATAGTATTACAGTAGGTTATGTGTTTTTCATTTCATTTCAGATTAGAAGTTGTTGACGAGTAATATGATATTAAGTTGAGTTTTTGGAAGTCATCTTTTTCAAATGTGGGACACTCAATGTTAACTAAAGAAAATATTGGGAATGTAGTATGTAAATCTCGAACAAGCATCGAGAATGTTCTTATTTCGTTTAATTTGTGATAGTTTAGTTTGCCTGTTGGTCCAAAAGAATATATGAAGAAAATATTTATAGTGTAATTGTGTTAGATATTGATACTTCTCTTATATTTTTTTAAAATATAGATTTTTTTTTGTAAGATATTTTCAATACTTCTGGAATATTTTTGAAATAATATGTGTCTGAAAAGTATTTTTTTTACTTAGAACATGACTTGAATATTTCTAAATAGTGATGAAGTAATAAAAAAATCAATATCCTTTTATATATTTATCAATATTTTACATTTACATAGAATATTTTATATCTATACATTACCAAATATCGGAACTTCATACATAAATCTCCAATTATTGTTGTATCAATACATTAAATCTGTACTTAATGTTAGAAAGCTCTTTAAACTATGTTTCTATAGTCTTGAGAATGGTCAAAACAACTTGGGTATACAAATTGACATCGTCCAATTTAACTGCTATTGAGAATTCCCGGCACTTGACACTTGGTTACAGCAAGCCGGGTAAATTAGTTCTCTGCATGAAGAAAATCATCATCTGTCATAAATTCGGAAGCAATTTTTTAATAGATATCAAAATGTAAATTTGGCTTGTGATGTAATTGATTTTCATAATGATGTTAACTCACAGTAACTCATTGGAATATTGCTGAATGACCAGGCAACTGATTACTGCTAAATAGTATCAAATTCTGCATATCGGCAACTGGTGTATTTAACAGAAAAAAATGTGGTTTAGAGAATTGATATCATCTATTTAACTATACTCTTGAGAATTTCTTGTACTTGACACTTCGTTCAGGATGATGTGGCACATCAATTCCCTGCATGAAAAAAAAGCATCAATTGTCATAAATTCTGAAGCTTTTTTATAGCTCAAAATCTAATATTGCTTGTAATATAACTTTTTTTTATCATAATGTAAACTCATAGTAACCCATTTGAATGTTGCTGAATAACAAGACAGCTAATTGCTGCCAAAAGATTATCAAACTTCTTCATATTAGTGACTGTTGTATAAATATCTATATATGTAAAGTGTGGTCTAGAGAATTGTAATTACCTGGCGGTGGTTTGAATAATCTGAGATGGGGGTCAAGGGGTTGACCTTGCCTCTCGAATTCCATGTCGTACACCGCGTTTTCGAAGTGCCTAAAATTTCAGAATCATGAATTTTTTTAGTTTCTTCTGAGTCTCAAGTTGTGAGAGTTCAACGCGGGCAATGATGGTGAGAAGAGAGAAAGAAAATGGCTGTAGAGGGTCGGAGTGTACCGTGGAGCAGAGGGGGGGTTGGGTACAGCGCTTAGGTCTCTGATGACGACACCGCCTTGAGGCCTTTGCGCTCTCTGGGATGTACCGGTTGTTCCACCGGTGGAAACCTTTATCGACTACACAAAACAAACCAACCAGAACAACCTCATCATCACCATCTCATTTTTGGGTTATTCTCTATCACATGCAGAAATTGAAACACAAACTTAATCTCTGGTCGTTACATAGTATAGTAAAAAGCTTACCTTTCCACGTTGAGAAGATGATCCTTCAGCATCACGACGTTTTGGAGGACGACCTGAGTATGGTGGTTCATAACGTACCTGTGGTGCAACATCCATTATTCATGTTTAGTTCTTTCCCAAGAAAGGTAATCAATCTATTGGGATAGTGTAGAGCTTCACATATATTTTATAACTGATAGTCATGGTGATTTCCATCATCGTTGCCTTAAATAAAAAGATAAGAAATATTTTTGGATATTTTTACCCTTGCTGTTGGAATGCTCCCGCCTTGTTCACTGGTGATGCTGGGAAAATTCCGAGTAACCGTCCGTGTAGGATTCATATTTAGAATCCTTCGAATAGCCTCGGAAGGTTGGTTCCTGTGCACACATATATTAGAGAAATTAGATGGAGACAGTAAAAAAAAAAAAATTTAAAATGAAAAATAAATAGATCTAATTAATACCTTAAAACGGGAGCAATCTCAGCCTCCCTGGTCCCTTGGGTCCTTGAACTTGTATGGCCCAGCAGCCTAGAAATAAGTGCCTGGGAACTAGTGTTATTGGCGCTCATGATCTGATTCGGCACACCGTGGGACCTTTATTTGAAAATTAATGAATTATTGTATGTCAGATAAAAATTAATAAAATATAAACATAAAATAATAAAATGTAAGCAATGTGGAAATTTAAGACAAACGTTTCATACATAGGAGGCACTGAAGATCGGGATCCAAAGGAATTGCTAGTTGTGGCAAATAGGCTAGATTGTTGACCATAATTAGCAATTGAGGACGCAGGATCAGGCAGCACAGGTCTACAACCCCGATGATAAGGGTTTGTTGGCATTATTACAAAACCCAGCTCAAGATCCGAGTATGGTTCCAACCTAAGACAAAAAAGCAATCACATGCTTGTTACTTTATGCTGATTTATTAAATGGTTAATTTGTTCACAACAAAGTAAACTTCATGTAAAAGCATATTTCTAAAATATAAGATGGATTCAGTACTATAGCTAGATACCTAGGGCACATTGGGTACACAGGCCTCATAGGAGGTTGAGACAGTGCATCAAGAATCTGCTCCAGTTCAGACGCATGACCTATTTGATTCTGAACGGGAGTGAATGACTGGGGCCACCTGAATAAAAAACAAACAGCTCATGCATTTTGTTGATAACTTGTTAATCGAGTCATCGTAATAAGTAGCAGAAAATGGAAAAATACTGAGTGTAGTTGGCTGCGTTTTGTGCACCATAGACATCAGTAGCAGAGAATTGGGCATATTAATGAACATCATTATGACCACATGGAAGCATCCAAATATCTTTAATTCAAAGTTTTAAATGTTAGCCGGGAAGATACAAAATTGTGAGTCTCACACTGACAGAGACGGGTCCAAGTGTTAGACATGCAATTTTGTTCTCTTTAAGGTTGATAATTTTGAAAGGGAGGAATAACTGAAAAAGTATGAAATAGAAGCAGAAAAAGTGAAAGAGCACCTAGAACTCTCCGCAGCATGAGAGTTACTGATATCATTGTAACTGGGAAACCCATGTGTTTCCTCATTCCCTGGCCTTGGCTGTCCCTGCATACAAGTCCAAACATTGACAAAAAACATGGTCAATAAGATTTCCACAAAAAACAAAGCTCCAGAGTATGTAGTTCAACAGTTATACTCACAGGGTTTGGGTGGACCAATCCTGGATGAGAGAATGATTGGTTCATTTGGATACCATTGCTATTGTTATCTACAGTTCTGTTTGGTATCAAACCTTGAACACATGGATTTTGCAGCGGATTAGGAACAAAAGTGAGAGCCGAGGCACTTGAGGATCCCTGATAGGACCCAGAGGTGAGGTTGGTGATTTCAACCATTGACTCTGCAACCTGCATAATTCACATAAATTGACACATTTACAACATGCACAAACAAACATTTCCAGTTTTACCTTATATACATTATAAAATAAAATTAAAAGGTTAAGAGAATGAATGCTTACGGCAGGTGTAGGAACAGCAGGCAACTCAGTGATTGTCTCCTCAGTATTTTGAAAAGCAGTGTGGGGACTGTCGGACTGTAAGAATGTGGGTTGAAAGTTGTCGTCATTCCAGTCGGACTGTAAGAATGTAGGCTGAAAGTTGTCGTCATTCCAGTCAATGAACATATCAAGACTGTCTGACTCAAACTCCCCATCCATGTTCTGTATACCATTCATTTGTGAATGATAATGTGAGAAAGACATTCGGTCAAACACTCAATTTATAGCAAAACTTTTTTCTTTTTGTCATAAGAAAATTGGAAGACAAGGTGACCCCAGGAGAAAAAAAAAAACCACCCTGGCATGCTTTGTTGTCAAAATATTTGAATATTAGAAATAAAATATATTGGTTTGACGTGACATACACGCTAAATAAAGTTTTAAATAATTATAATTATGAAACTTACGTTAAAATAATATATTTTATTTTTAAGGCTTCCTTTAAAATATCTTTAAATAAAGTTATTTATATTGAAGAAATCTTAAACAATATAATAAGTTGTTCAAAAATTTTTAATAAAATATTTCTAATTAAATTTTTGTTATAAAAATTTATGAATAAAATATATTATTTAATAAGAGTCTCTAATAAAAATTGCTCATGAAATTAATATTAAAATAATATATTTTATTTTTAAGAACTCTTTTAATTAATTTTTATTTTAAATATTATGATATTTATATTATGGACCTTGTGTATATGAGATATTTAAAAATATATTAAAGTTGTTTATATAAATTTATTTTTATTTGAAATAAATTGTATATAAAATCTATAAAAGATAATAATTTTTTATAAATACTTTTAGTTATTTTATTAATCAATTTAAAAAATAAAGGAGAAGAGAATGATTTTTTTTAAAATTTATATAAGAATACTATAAAAAATGAATTATAAATTATTTAAATAAAATATAATAAAAAAATTATATTTTATATTTTTTAAAATAAAAAATAACTGAGTTGTTTATATGACAGACCAGATTTTAGTAACTTAAACCACTTCATAAATCCTAATTCGTTGATCATTTATAACGGAAAAAAATATAATAAAAGAATTGGACAATTAATTTATATATTAATTCAAATAAAATTTTCATTCAATGCAAATTAGTATTATCATCAATACATGCCATATAATAAATTCAGCTAGTTTTTTTGTTTATTTTTTAAAAAACATAGATAAATGTGAAAAAGTATACATGGTAAATATTAGATATTGGTATTTTTAGAGTTACATATAATTTACAATTCATTAAATATTATAATAAAAGTTAACTACAAAATATATGAGAAAATAAAACTAAAATTTATAAAGCATATCTAAAATTTAAAAAATATCACTTTAATATGAATTTCACACATAAATTAATTAAAATTAAAGATATATGAATACTATTTTTCACACTTTGTTTTTTTTTTCATTTTAAGCAACTTATATATAATCTATATTAATTTTTTTTATTTATAAAAAAAATCACTAACACTATTTTAACTCTCTTTAGAGATATTCTAAATTTAATAAATTTTTTTATTCAATCAACGGACATGTAATGAGTTTTATTTATTAGAATATCTCTCATAAAAAATATTTATAATAATTGTTAATGAAAAATAATAATATTATAATATAAAATTATGTGTATAAATTATTTAAAATTCAAGAAAAATATTTATATAAATAATTTTTAAAAGTTTAAGAAAATCAAATAAATAATATTCATATTAAAAAATATTTTTATTAATAGACAATTTTTATGAAAAACTAAGTAAAATCTGGTCTCTATTAATACATAATTTTGAAAAAAAAATCATTAAACCTAATATTTTTTTCTGTTATAATTACGTGTATTGTAATCAATTAATTAAATGATAATTAATAATGATAAAAATAAAATATTAATACAAAATAAAATAAAAATCAATAATATTAAATGAATTAATTAATTTTTATGTGTGTGATTTAATAATAGAAAAAAGAAGTCTAAAAGAGAGTGTAAAAATTCAAACTGCTGTAGCTATTAATGAATTTTGTGATAGCTTTAAATAAATATTTATTGCTAGTAATTCTTTAACCATTATTTGAAAGAAAGTAATAAATAACAAGACTAAAATATTAGTAAACATAGTTGTTTTATTAGTGAGAAACAATGTAAGTGTATAAACTGATTGTTTTGTTTTTAATATTTTTGTACCCATTAATTAAAAGCAAGTTGTCAGGATTTCAGAAACTGTATTCAGATGACAGTTATTAAGACTATTAAGATTAATTAAGTTGTTTTTTTCATAAAACCACATAAACAGCTTAAAAAATTAATTATTATTGATCTAATCCATAAGACCACAGGCCATTACACATAAATATTTAATGCAAACGTTTCATCTTGAACAGAGCAATACCTTTATTATTTACAGAGGTGAATGACATATTATATATATATATATATATATATATTATAAAAGTTGTAATTAAAATAAATCAAACATAACAGAGAGAGGTCTGGCGGACCAGTCTTCTGAAACGGGCAAAAACATCTTTGTGAAAACAACTGGCATAACAGTTTTTCAGATTTTAATAATATAAAAAAAGTTAAATTAATTGTTTAAAAGATGTTACTGTTAAAAAAATTTAATATTAAAAAATTATTTTAAAAGTAAGTTTAAAATGATTTCATTTGAACAATTAAGTATTTTAAAAAAATTAATAAACAAAATTAATTTCATTTACATCAAAATATAATTTGTCAAATTACTTACTAATTTTTTATCCATCATACTTAAAATCCACATTGCCATACCAATGGGAATATTATCTCCTCAGTGGACAAGATACAAACTTTTTCAGAAAATATCGATGACAAGAATATAATATAAGAATTTGGGAAAGATATTCATACATTTTATCAGAAATGAATCATAGTAAGTTTTCACTAAAACATAGTGAAAGTCGTAATAAAAAGAGAGAAATTAAAATATATCAGCTATAATTATATATATATACTTAAAAATAAATATTTTTTATAAATCACTTTTTTAAGCATTAAGAAACAGATCAATTATTTTCTCTTCTCCTTTTTTTTTAATTGATGGTAATATTTTTATAAAAAAATTATTGTCTATAAAATATTATCTTTCTTTTTCATGTTTTTCTCTATATTTTTTTTCAATCATATGTTTCTCGCTATTAAATATAATAAATATATGATTTTTTTTTATAGATTAATATTGAGAAAATAATCAATTTATAAATAGTTAATAAAAAATGGTACATTTATGACATTTTTAAAATATCAACAAAATTAACTAAACTAATTATTTTTACTGAGATAAATGATTGACTTGGTTTCCAAACTATGAAGCGTTATCAATTTAATTTTTGAAAAAAATGAAAAATTTCATTTAATTTTAAAATATGTAAAAAAAAAAACAAATTAATTCCTTGCATATTAACTATAAACTGAAAATGGTCTCTGATTTATTATAAAATTATATATATTTTAATAACAAAATAATTTGATAAAATTTAGTAGTAATATGTAATTGATGAATTTTTTTGCATACTCAAGAATTAAAATAAAGATTTTATATTTTTTAAGGATTAAATTGACAATATATAGACTAAATTAATCTCTCTCTCTTTTTCATTATAATTATAGGATTCTTTTAAAAATATATTATATATATCAGATGAATACAACTTTTTAATTTTTTAATAAATAAAAAATGATTTTACTCATTTTATAAATAGATTTAAAAATGTTATAATGCTTGTTGTTTAGTGGTATCCTCACATATTTCTTTATAGAAATAAAGAGATATAACTTTTATTTTGTAAAAAGTGTTTATTCATTTTGTAATTTATTTTATAAGAAGTGTTTATTATAATACTAGTTGGTAACTTTTTTTTTCACATCTCTTAAAAATAATATATATTATATGATTTATTTAATAATCGATTCAATCCAATATAAAATAAGAGATATTAATTTATAAAGTATATTGAATTAAGATGAAAAAAAAATTAATAAAAATTATTATTGAGATATTCATAGTTAAAGAAATATTTCTTTACGAAAGAAAAAAAATATTCTTATATATATAAATGAAAATAGAATTTAAACGTGAATTAATATCTTAAACTAATTAGAAATAATAGAGTTAAATTTATATAAGTGAAATATATATATATATATATATATATATATATATATATATATATATATATTAGAAAAATCATCAAGTAAACTTATATGTTTAATCATTATGTCATGCAACACGTGTAAGTATTTAAGTGAGTTAAAAGTAGAAGTAATGTAATGAAAGTAAGTTTGATGTTTTACCGTTTAAGCTAAAAAGAATTATAAATAAAAAAATTTAAACATTCAAATTTCATTATTATAAAATCACCATCTTTTTACAACTCTCTTTTATTTACCTTCTCTCTAAAAATTTTACTCCATCTCTCATATTTTTCTAAATCCAAACACACCTTAGTGTTCCTGAAGAAGAGAAGATTAATTCTACCTGATCAAAAATTTGAATAGAGTAAGTTTTTTCTTTCCTAATTTTAGATCATTTTACATGTTTAAGGTTTAGATATGCATGTGGGTCCTAGGGGGTTTGCATGTAGACTTTGTTGTGAAAAAATAAATCTTGACTAGTTTAGAAACATTATGATAATCTCAATTTGTTAATTTGAGTTTTTTTTTAGTAGGATCCATCTTAAAAATTCAGGAGTTTTTGAGGTTCTTTAACTTGAAAGCACTGGTTTGAGGTAAAAGAAATTAGTTATTCTTCAATTTCTAGGGTAGAATATCTAAATTGTGAAGGTGACTTTGTCATATTATTTGAGTTTTAGGAATTTGGATTGTGTGATTATGTATGTGCTAATTCGTGATAATTGTATTGAATGTGAATATATAAGTGAGTTATATGAGATTGAGAAAAATAATCTTTTGTATGAATGTATTGTTCTTGTATTGAATTTAGTGAATTGATTTACAATAAAGAGGGTAATGTTTAGAATTAATTTGATTTGAAACATTAGAAATATGGTATTGAGTAGATTATGCGGTATGTTACTATTACAAATCTACCTAGCGGATTTAAATTCGTTCAGCGAATTTAAGACAATGTCAAAAGCGCTTGCAATTCGTTCAACACTTTTAAATTCGTCCAGCAAAATTTGGATAGTGTTGAAGGTT